AAGCAGTTGCCTTTATAAGGCCACTAAACTGTGAACTGAAGTCTGCTAAGAGAATGAACTGCAGCGGGGAGGGAAGCTGAGCTGGGCCGGGTGGCCAAGTATAGCCTGTAAACACTGCTGCCCTGCCTGACAGCTGGCGGCTTTACCAGACGGTGGTGCGCGCCCACTGAGGACAGCAGCCGCAGGGAGTCCAGGTACGTGCATCAGTGGTGTGGGAGCTGAGACGGTGCAGACCTGCCGGCACCGAGGCCCGCGTCCTCGGTCCTCTTTCTGTAGCAGCTGTAACGTGCCATGAGCCATGCTCACTGCCCTGACCAAGCCCCTGTGATCCCCAGAGCAAGAAGCCCACCCGGAGCTGTGGGCTCAGGCTGGGCCCAAGGCTGGCTGACCCTCCCCTCTGACCTACTGAGGCACTGCAGAGTTGTAGAAAAAACACTGGATTTCAAAGCAGGAGCCCTAAAATTGAGTCTCAGTTCCACTGGAAGATTCTGGCAGACATGTCACCTCTTTTAACCCCAAGCCCCCATCTGAATAAATGTGTCTAACAGTAGCTGGCCTGACAACCTGTGGGAAATAAAAGCCAAATTATAGGCTCTTTAGAGTATAAGAAGTCCTTTCTCAGCCAGCTGAGGCCTACCTGTGGGGCTGCCTGGTTAGTGGGAGCCCCTTCCCTCAAGAAGGGCAGGGAAGGGGCACGTGGGAGAAGATCCTGGTAAGAAACAAAAATCCTGGGCTTTGCAGAGGAAGCCTAGATGTTATTATTACTACAGTCATTATCTCTGCCATCCAACTAGACCACAGAAGCCCCACTCTGAGTCCCCCTAAGCACACACACCAGCCGCGGCCATCACACCTCGTCACGGAGCGGTACCCACAGGGAGGCCCCGTTTCCGCCAATGTCGGCACTCCTCCTTCACGCAGAAGACGGCTGCGCATTCGGAGACAGACGGCTCCTCCCCACACCCCAAACTACCTCCAGGTGCCAATTTCTATAGAAAAAGCCCCAAGAACCCAGGGGCTGACTGTCCCCCTATCCACCGAGATAACCCCTGAACCCAGAGCCTTGTGGGTCCCAAGAGAACCCTGAGCCAGCTCTGCACTCCTGTCCCTACCCAGGGAACCGAAAGCACCAGGCAACAGGACCATTATTTAATTTGTTGATTTGACTTGCTAAATTGGCTTTAGGTTCCCTAGGTTGGGCCTGAAGTTGAAGAATGAGTATCCAAAACTCACTGGCATAAAAAGACAGGTTTTGTGGGTACCAAGGAACAAGTCCAGCAAAACAGATCTCTCAAGGGTCTGACTCTCTCCTCTCTTGCACGTAGAAGTCAGGCAGCGAGAACATTACTCTGTTGCACCCGTTCTTTCTCCAGAATATTGTCAAGAACTCTGGCTGAACAATGGGTTTCACCAGGGTAACGGGCAGGAAGGAACAAAGAAAGAACAGAGTCGTGACCTGTCCTCAGCACACAGAGGATGCAAACTGCGAGAGTGGGTCAAGTCCTGGGTGTACATCCAGGGAAGCCCCTTCCCCTCTTGGGCCCCGGCCTCCTAACCCAGCCATGTTGTGTGGGGACTCACTTCCCAGGGCTGTGGTGAGAATCAGGTAAGAGAAAGGGGTGTGAAGACCGGGCGGCCACGATTTGCTCTCCTTTGCTTTCAGGTTTGTATCTAAGCATCTTGTGTCTGCCAGGTTTGTTGGACCCCAGGAGGCCACACTAGTGTCGCTCACGCATGAGGGGGAGGTGGGACATGCTGATGAGACCCTGAGTCTCAGGAAGTCCACGATCTGATGGCCCGAGCCCCAGATGCCTAGCACAGAACAGGACATGCCAGTGAGGAGAGGAGGGAGCAGAGGCGGGCACTTAGGAGGTGCCAGGCCCCATGCCGGGCAACTGAATCCTCTCCACAACTCTGGAAGAGGGACTTATGACCCCATTTTACAAATAAGGATGCTGAAGCCTACAGAAGATAAGCAAATTCAACAGGACCAAAGGGGAAAGAACCAGTATTATTCACGCTCTTATTCCATACCAGGCACTATACGCTAAGTACTCTATAAACATTTTAAACTTAACCCTCATGACAACCCTAGGAAGTAGGGTTTATTACCCCAAGGCCACAGGTGGCAGAGCAAAGACTTACTATGAGATCTCACTGCCTCTGAACACACGCTTTTCTCACTACACTTGACCCCTGAACAACGTGGCGGTCGGGCTCTGAGTCTGCATGGGTGAAAACCTGCGTGTGACTGCACAGCTGGCCTCCACGTCCACGGCTCTGCACCTGCAGTTGCGACCAACTGCAGATCATGTAGGGCCGGAGACGCATTCACGGAAAAGAAACCACTGTCAGTGGACCACTTGGTTCAAAGCCGTGTTGGTTCAAGGGTCCACTGCACCGCAAACCGCCTCCCGCCGAGGAGGGTAGAACACAGTTTGCCAATACAGAGGGGATTTGATAGAAGCCTCACTATTATCCTGCAGCAGAGGCCTCCTGTGGTAGCTGGTGGAGAGGCTGCCTGTGCCCTGCCCGCACTCTGAGGCCCAAACTACAGGTCAGGGTGGCATAGCCATATCATGGAGTGGCACTCCACAGTGACAGAGCCGGCTGCAGAGACACATGGGTCCAGGGGCGAGTCTCTCAGACGTAACGTCGAGGGACAGAAATCAGGCCCCGACGTACACACTATATGATCCATTTACACGAAGTTCGAACACAGGTAAGAGTGCTCTGCTGTCACAGAACCTGACATCCTGGTTTTCCTGGGAGGGGGTGGAGGGATTTGGTCCCTGTCAGGGCCTGGCAGGGGTTCTGCATATGCATTTGTACAAGCTCATCGAGCTCACACTTCAGGTTTCTGTACGGTACAGTGCGGTACACCCCAGGTGAAGAAAACGCTTCCTCCTCAGCGGCCCCACGGTCTCCCCTCCACCAAAGGCCGTGGAACCGGGACGGGTGACTACTATTCATGATGAAAGTTTCAAGTCAGGCCACTGTCACCTTGTGAGCACACATCCACCCCCTACCCCAACAAAGACACCCGTTCAACCCAGAGGAGACGCAGGAGGTCGGGGTTCTGAATCTGAGTTACTACCTGGCACCGGGAAGTTATTTCTTCATACTAGGTCACACGATTCCTATCTGAAGATGAGGGCTGGATTAGCTGATTTCCTTGTGATTCTATGGTGAAGTTAAAAAAATAACCAGTAGTTGCTTTGCGTCAGTCATCTGAATAAAATAAAACCTTCCCCCCCCCCCCTTAATGTATCTGTATGTACAGATAAAATAAAGCTTAACTCCTACATCCCGGGGCAAGTGAGGCAGCTCGGATCGGAAACCTTAAACTCAGCTCGCTCCACCACGAAGCTCAAGGCTTTTGGGTGGAAAAAAAGACAGCTGGCTACGCGGTGATTTGGCGCCTACAATGCTGCAGGCGGCCCCGCACTGATCACTCACACAGCTGTGGCTCCTCGCTGCGCCCAGCTCTCAGCAGAAACCCACAAACCCTGGGGCCTTTCCACAGTGGGGACAGAACTCTACAAGTACCGGTTCTATGTACGGCCTGCGGGGAGCATACTCAAAACGTGTTCTTTATTTTCTTAAAAAAATTCTCCTAGGGTTTAAATTGGGTCCCAAAGCTCCAACCTGTCAGGCACAATAGATATTGAAAAGCCATCTCCCTCCAGGTTCCAAGTACTATGTCTCTCCACTTCCCACCCCAATTCTGGCAGCAGCAGCAGCAGCAGTGACAGTAATGATACCCACAAATCACCCACACTGGGTGATTAATATGTGTCAGGCAGCCTGCTAACATACATTCGACTTCATTTAAACGTAGAAACAACCACGTATCACCCATCTTATAGCTAAAGAAATTGAAGCCTAGGAAAATGACCAGGACTCAAGGCCAGCAGGGCACCCCGAGGCCCAGTTCCTCACTACCACGCTCTACCAAGGTAAGATCTCCAGCAAAGTGCAAGACTGTCTCTGTGGCCACCAAGATGCCAATATCCCGGAAGGCCTGCGACCTCCCTCCGAAGCTAACACTACAAATTTCCGAGAACAGCCACGTGTGTTTTTGCTCCTTTGCTTTACCTGCCCTGCATAGAAGCTTTTGCTAGCGCCACTTGCCGCCCCCAGCCCATTGTCTACACCCCAAGTCTTCCAATTTGGAGACTTTCACTGTGCAATCCGTGCCACCCTTCTAATTCCACATCCAATCTCTTTCCTATCGGCACCGCAGTCTGCAGAGACACTGCAGCGTTCTCTTTCCCATCATGTGCTGGGCTTTCAGGCCCATGTGCCTTTGTATTTGCTGTTCCCTCTGCCTGGGATGCCCACTCCCACCTCTTTGCCCTTCAAAACTCCAGCTCAAATGTCACCACCCGCTCAAAGCCTCCCTTGGCAGCCCATATGGGCAGTCCCTTATTTCCCTTTCTGTGTTCCCCAAGCCCCTGCCCTGCTCATACCTTATGAGCACATTTATCACAATGCGTTACAGTTAGCAGTTCATGACTCCGTCTGCTCCAAGATACCAAGTGCCTTGAGGGAAAGGCCTCCATCTACCCATTTCTTACCTATTCTGTCTAGTCAGTTTCTAACACTCAGTAAGTGTTTAGTAAAAGTGTGCTAAACATACGCATAATTGAATACAAGAATACATTTTTGCTTGTTCCCTCCGATCTACGCCAAACGTGCGTCTAGAATATCAAATTAGGATGACAAGCGTAAAATGCATCTGGACACTTGGCTTTAGGAACACAGTACAAATCTGTATCTCACCAAGGGCAAAAAAGGTGTAAATGCCATTCTCTCCTCCTTCAAATTGCTAACATAGCTTTAAATCTAGAGTCAGGCAGTGCGTTTCTCTGAGAACCCACAAAGCATCAGCTCAGCGCAGCTGCAGGGCGAGGACACCCAGGCAGCCAGAACTGTAGGAGGGCAGAGGCAGAATGAGAGAGAGTCTAGGCACCAGGCCAAGACAGAGCCCCGCTTACCTCCTTCTTGGGAATTCATGATGTTCAGGGCAAACAGCATGGCATTGGAGAACGTGGTCGCCTCTTCCTTACTTGCAAAGTTTAAACCATAGACCTGGCGGGCATCTCGCCACTGGTGGAAGGTTGGCGTTGCCTGATTGTACTTCAGCCCTTTCACGATTGAATAATTGATCACAACCTGAAAGGGAAAAGAGAGAGAAATACGTGTAAATAAATAAAAGGTAAGTGAGCTGTGTGGGGCAAGGATATTGTGTCCCCTGGGGCTACAAGAGGACAGGGGGACGGGGATGGGGTCAGCAGAAGGGGAGAGCACGACCCGGCAGCTTTTCAACATGATCTATACGACACTGAGGGTTTGAAAACTAGTTATTTCATTTAACTAACAAAGAGTGTGGTCATGACCTCCACATGAGAGCCCTAAGCTGGGAGTCAGGTTCCCTGGGTCCTGGTCCTGGCCCTGCCTCCCAGCCATGTCACCCTAGGCGGCACCGCACTTCTCTGGGTCTCAGTTTCGCCAGTTATAAAATGGGGATAATGATCCTGGCTCTACTGACCTAATGGGGTTACTGCAAAGGTCACACAGTGACACATATCTTATGGAGGCTTCTAGATATAAAGATCCTTAAGGGCGAGAGCCTTTTCTAATTCATATTTATGCCTCCCATAGCCCTCTGCATAGCGTCTAATACTCAGAATGCACTAATAAATGGGTTATTAGTTAAAAGGACAACTATCCATTCTTTTGCATGTGGCTATTCAGTTTTCTCAACACCATTTATTGAAGAGACTGTCCTTTCCCCACTATATGCTCCTGACTCCTTTGTCATAAATTAATAAAACCACATCTGATGGGTTTATTACTGGGTTCTCTATTCTGTTCCATTGATTTTTGTGTCTGTTTTTATGCCAATATCATGCTTTTTATTTACTAAGGTTTTTAATTACTATACTAAAATAACAGTAATATAGTTTGAAATGAGGGAGTGTGATGCCTCCAGCTTTGTCCTTCTTTCTCAAGATTGCTTCCGCCATTTGGGGTCTTCTGTGGTTCCTACAAATTTTAGGATTGCTGTTCTAGCTCTGTGGCGTTTTGATAGGGATTGTGTTGAATCTTGTTGATTGCTTTGGGTGGTGTGGACATTCTAACATGAGCACAGAGTCTGCTCTCTTTTCCTTGGTGAGTCTGGCTGAAGGCTTGTCAGTTCTGTTTACATTTTCAAAGACTCAGCTCTTAGTTTCCTTGACCTTCTCTATTGTCTTTTTAGTCTCTATTTCACTGATTTCTTCTTCTTTTTTAAAATGATCACCTCCTTCCTTCCTTCCTTTCCTCCCTCCCCTCCCTCCCTCCTTTCTTTCCCCGCCCTCCCTCCTTCCTTTCTTTCCCTGCCCTCCCTCCTTCCTTTCTTTCTTGGCTGCGTTGGGTCTTCGCTGCTGCGTGTGGGCTTTCTCTAGTTGTGGCGAGCACGGGCTACTCTTCATTGCAATGCGCAGGCTTCTCTCTGTGGTGGCTTCTCTTGTGGTGGAGCGCGGGCACTAGGCGCGTGGGCTTCAGTAGTTGGGGCACGTGGGCTCAGCAGTTGTGGCGCGCAGGCTCTAGAGCTCAGGCTCAGTAGTTGTGGCGCACAGGCTTTGTTGTTCCGCGGCATGTGGGATCTTCCCGGATCAGGGCTCGAACCTGTGTTCCCTGCACTGGCAGGTGGATTCTTAACCACTGTGCCACCAGGGAAGTCCTATTTCATTGATTTCTGCTCTCATCTTTGTCATTTCCTTCCTTCTACTAACTTTGGGCTTCTTTTGTTAATCTTTTTCCAGTTCCCTGGGGCATAAAGTTAGGTTGTTTGTGGCTTTTGTTTCTTGAGGTAGGCACTGACTGCTATGAACTTAGCGGTAGAATGCAGAACTGCTTTTGCTACATCCCACAAATTCTGTTATGTTATACTTCCATTTTCGTTTGTCTCCAGGTACTTTTTTTTTTGCGGTATGCGGGCCTCTCACTGTTGTGGCCTCTCCCATTGCGGAGCACAGGCTCCGGACGCACAGGCTCAGCGGCCATGGCTCATGGGCCCAGCCGCTCTGCGGCACGTGGGATCTTCCCGGACCGGGGCACGAACCCATGTCCCCTGCATCGGCAGGCGGACTCTCAACCACTGTGCCACCAGGGAAGCCCTGTCTCCAGGTACTTTTTAAATTTCTCTTTGGATTTCTCCTTCAACCCACTTTCGTAGCATGTTGTTTAATCTCCACATACTTGTGACCTGAAACCATAAAGCCCCTAGAAGAAAATATAAGTGGTAAGCTCCTTGACATAGGCCTTGGTGATGATTTTTTGAATCTGATACCAAAAACAAAAGTGACAAAAGCAAAAATAAACAAGTGGGACTACATCCAACTAAAAAGCTTCTGTATAGCAAAGAAAGCCATCAACAGAATGAAAAGGCAATCTACTGAATGGGAGAAAGTGTTTGCAAAACATATATCTCATAAGGGACTAGTATCTAAAATATATAAAGAACCTGTATTGCTCAATAGCAAAGAAACAATCCAATTAAGAAATGGGCAGAAGATCCGAATAGATATTTATCTAAAGCAGACATACAGATGGCTAACAGGTACAAGAAAAGATGCTCAACGTTACTAATGATCAGGGAAATGCAAGTCAAAACCACAAGGAGATATCATCTCACACATGTCCGAACGGCTGTTATCAAAAAGACAAGAAATAAAGTGTTGGCAAGGATATGGAGAAAAAGGAACCCTTGTGCACTGTCAGTGGGAATGCAAATTGGTGCAGCCACTACAGAAAACAGTATAGAGGTTCCTTAAAGTTAAAAATAGAACTATCACATGATCCTGCAATTCCACGTTTGGGTATTTACCCGAAGAAAATATAAACACTCAATCAGAAACGTATATGCACCCCCATGTTCACGGCAGCATTATTTACAACAGCCAAGATATGGAAATAACCTAAGTGTCCACTGATGTATGAACAGATTAAGAAACTGTGGTATATACACAATGGAATATTACTCAGCCATAAAAAGGAATGAAATCTAGCCACCTGTGACAACATGGATGGATCTCAAGGGCATTATGCTAAGGGAAAGAAGTCAGACAGAGAAACACAAAAACCGTATGATCTATCTTGTATGTGGAATCTTAAAAAAAAAAAAAAGCTCATGGATACAGAGAACAGACTGATGGTTGCCAGAGGTGGTGGGGGTGGGGGTAGGGAAGGGCGGGGGAGAAATTATGCATATGAAACCAATTAACACAGCTGCTAGCACACAGGTTGCCAGCAAGTGTTAGCTGAGAAATATTAAGGTCCTCAGAGATGGAAATATGCAAGCAGAGTCTAGATAAGGCTGGATGGCCTGCTGTTAGTGATACAATGGAAAGATTCTGCTTTAGGAGAGGTACAAGATGATTTCTCGGATCTCCTCTGGCTTTGAGGCTCTAGGGTTTTGTGACCTGAATTGGAGATAACTCAGTCTACTGTCCACCACCACCCCCCCCAACCCCGGTCAGGAAGGAGAGCTCAGGAAAAGATTCGGAGACGCAAGGGGACATGGCCAAGACACCCTGTGTGCTGGCTGGGGCACTAAGGTGAGAACTCTCATTTACTGCTCCATCCTGCTGTGCTGTTGGATAAAGGCCAGAGGATAGCAAATACGGGCAATATCCACAAGAGCTTTTCCCCAAGTCTCAGCCAGGTGGAAGGTAGGTTTGGATTGTCCTATAGTGAAAAAAGAGCGAGCAAGCGAGAGAGACGGAGGGAGAGAAGCACGTGTACTAAATTAGCTAAAGAAACACAACAGTTTCTTAGTTGTTACATACTGACACTGCAGTTTTGGCCAACATCTATACCCAGGTTCCTCGGTGGTTCTCTCTCTCTGGGTTTAGCTCTAGATCGTCAGAAAAAGGGCTGGAGGTTTCGTGGCTACATGCATGATAAGAAGCACAGTGACTTGTGGTTAACACAGCTCTTCAGAGGAGAGGGCACAATGATAGCGGTACAGTGACCAGAATGAGGGAGATAAGACCCTCTTCCTTTCTGCCGTGGTTAAGTCTATACCAGAAGGTCTGTGTTTGTGTGGTTTTGGTGCTGCACTTTTAGTGGACATTGACAAACTAGAGCAAGCCAGAGGGATGTGTTTCAAATGGACGAATGTCTGGAAACCACATCATATCAAGAATGGTTGAGGGATACGGAAGCAAGATAAAAGAAGACTCTTCAGTGTATCACATATCTTTCCAGGTACTTGAGGGGATGATCTGGGGAAGTGAGATTTAGAATCCTAAGATTTGAAATCTCTGGTTGGCTATGTTCTTGGAGGGGGACTTAGAGGGAGCGGGAACTGGGGGAGGTGGATGCCTATCCAGAATCTAGAAACAGTGTGGCGTAAGGAACTCAGAGACCAGACAGAATGTCTAACTCAATCCTCCCTTTCTACAGTTGGGAAAACTGAGGCCCAGGGAGAATAAGTGATTTGCCCAAGGTTACAAGGTAAGTAATGGTAGAACTGAATTTAGAATCCAAGCCTGTAGCCTAGGACTTTGTGCTGCTTCTGACTGCCAGCATAACGAGCTGCAATCTTTCTTCCCATAATTCCTTCTCTGGTCCTAGCTCTAACCTCTAAAGAGCCTCAGAAATCGATTCTCTACTTTTAGAGATTTTCGGCTATTGGATTGGGAGAGTGTGATAAAGCTGTTCCAGAAGTTCTCTGGGTTCTTTGCTGCACATGGCTGGCCTGTCCTCCAACTGCAGCTCTTGGGTTACCATTTCTGATCCATCTACACCTAGAGCATAGAGTTATAAAGGCTGCTCACCGAGTGCTGTGTCTGCTAGCCAGACATAGCCCACAAGGGTCTACGACTGCTCCGAACACAACTACCGTACTAGGTACAAGGACTGAGCAGAGGGTTTTGAGTCAAACGATTCAGGATTAAAATTCTGGCCTTATTACTTTGCAGCTGAATAAACTTGGAAAAGTTACTGGCATTAGCTTCTTCGTATGTAAAATGAAAATATTATAAATAATGCTGGACTGAACATCCTTGTGCATATGTCTGTGTGAACATTCCTATGAGCAGAATTTCTGGATCAATGGAAATGACCATTTAAACATTTATATTTTCTGTTTGAAAAGATCTACTCTGAAACTTCTAAACTGCCTT